AAGAAGAAGAAGAAGATAGTAGGAAGGGAAAAATGAAGGGGGAGAATTCAGAGGGGGAGGTGAACCATGAGAGACTATGGACTCTGAAAAACAAACAGGGTTCTAGAGGGGAGGGGGTGAGGGATGGGTTAGCCTGGTGATGGGTATTAAAGAGGGCACATACTGAATGGAGCACTGGGTGTTATACACAAACAATGAATCATGGAGCACTACCTCAAAAACTAATGATGTGTAATGTATGGTGATTAACATAACATAATAAAATAAAATAAAAAAATAATTGAAAAATACTTGTATATTTTCAACTCAGTATTCCACTGAAGGGTTAGGAAGATGCCATAAGTGCCTTAACAAGCCATTCATTAAACATTCTTCAAACGTTTATTGAGCATCTGTTATAAGATAATAGAATCAAACACCTTTCTGAGTCCTACCCTGTGGGACTCCATTTCTTTTCTTCTTGCCTTCCTTCTTTCTTTCCTTTAGCAGATATTAGATACTGTGCTTAACAAACTGTAGGAATCTTATCAGCGCTGATTCCACTGCAGAGCTCCAGTATTGTGTGGGGGAAGAAAATTCTCATCCTGGGGGATACTGAATCAATGCTGACATTCAGCTGCTACTAGAAATGCAAGGATAAGTCTAAAATACAGCCTGCCCCAACAGAATTCAGTCTAAAGGAGAAACAAATGTGTAAACAAAGATATTACAAGTCAGTTTGATAAATGTGATAATGGAAATGTATAGTATAGTGTACTGCTTAAGAGCCTACACTTTGGAGTCAGTCAGCCTGGATTTAAATTATAGTGTATCACTAGCCACTTGGCCTTGGGCAAGTTACTTAATTTCAGTTTTTCATTTATAAAATAAGACTAATAATATCTGTTATTGAGTTATGATTAAATGAGCAAATGGCATTCAAAATACTTATTAGCTCAGTAACTGGCTCGTAAGTGCTCAGTAAATGTTAGTTATTACTGTTTACCATTCAGTGATTTTTTTTCTTTTTTCTTTTGGCCTTGGGGACATTAAAGAAACAATCAGAGATAAAGAGCCACATGTCTGGTGTCTGCAAGATGAGATAAGTAGAGAGGGAGAGCATTTTAAACAGTAAACAGATGTACTATGGCATAGATGTATAAAGAATTGTAAGTAGTTCAGGTATAGGAAATGAGTAGTTCATTTTTCTTGGAACAGCTTCTAGAGAGGGAGAACTAGAGGTAAGGTGATCAAAGAACACTATATACCAAGCTAAGGAATTTGGACTTTTTTTCTATGGGCTATGGAGAATTGTTGAAGGGTTTTCACTTTAATAGCAGTGTGGGAAATGGGATATGAAGAGATTATTTCAGGTAGGAAACCAGCATGAGAGAGAAGATATAGTCATAGTACAGATGAGAGAAAATGAGGCTAACCCAGAGTAGTGAGAGGAGAAATAGACAGCAAAGGCTGAATTCAAGAAATTTTGAAGGTATAAGTGATGTGATATAATGAGGGAGAAGATTAAGATGAATCTCAGCCTTATAGGTATGTAGATGATAATCTAGATGGTATTAGAGTTGGGGTGGGCAAATAATATACTTTATTCCTGATCAAAATAATAAGAAAGAACTAGCAGATGAAGTAAGAAAACATATCCTTTATTATTATTATTATTTTTAAGGATTTTATTTATTTTAGAGAGAATGTGTGTGCAAGCAGGGGGAGGGGCAGAGGGAAAGAGAGGGAGAGAATCTCAAGCAGACTTCCTGCTGAGCATAGAGTCCTCTGCGGGCTCCCTCTCTTGACCCTGAGATCATGACCTGAGCCAAAATCAAGGGTCAATGCCCAGGCGCCCTAACATTTCCTTTATTATAGATAAAAACTGTTAAAGCAGTAAAATGTGTGTTAATGCAAGAACCAAAGTTTACTTGCTTACTATGTCCCTTCTGTGACAACCCACCCAAAAGAAAGTCTGAAATTGTATAGTAGATGCACTTCTTCCCAATCACCTCTTCATGCTTGTTCAGAGAAGAAAGGAAAAAGGAAATCCAGTTACCTCTCATTTTGAGTTCCTCCTGACCAATGACCAGTGATTGTTGCCCATGAACCAGATAATTCAGTCCCCTTTGCCAGAGGCAGAGGGTATGACAAGATGCAAGAAGCCCTATAACAGTACTATGAACAAAATAGGAATAGCAGAAAGAAGACTGAGTCTGGGGCACGGGGGTAGGTAGGGAAGAGGTAGGAGGCCATGAATTCAGTTTGAGATCCAGTAGTCAGTAGGACATAAAAATTATCACTCCAGACTACTTCTTAAGTCATATCTTTACTTTTCATCTGTATAAAGAGGATGCTGGTCAAACTAGAGCAGCTGGATAGGTATTACACATTCAGAAATCTGTACAGCGTAACAAGAATCTTTCTAGTGTATAGAGTTGTTTATCTGAGGCTTTAAGAAGACCAGAGGCCGTTTGTCAGTGATGCTGGGGAGAGGATTTCCTAATGAGCAAGAGATTGTATTGTGACCTCTCACATCCCTTCTAACTCTAAAAGTTAGTTACAGGGGTGCCTGGGTGGCTCAGTCGGTTATCTGTCTTCACCTCAGGTCAAGATTCCAGGGTCCTGGGATTGAGACCCTTTTCAGGCTCCTTGCTCAGTGGGGAGTCTGCTTCTCCCTCTCCCTCTGCTGTTCCCCCTGCTTGTGTTCTCTCACTCTCCCTGTCAAATAAATAAATAAAATCTTTAAAAAATAAAAAACAAATAAAAGTTCATTACAGAAGATGCTCAACAAGTACCAGTGATTTGATAACATACTAATAACATTTTATTACTTATATAAAAATCTATGGCTGCATTTATACTTAATTTTAAATTAATGGAATAACTGGATGTTATTTGAAGAATATATTCTTCAGATAAAAGTGAGATTAAAACTTTTCTTGGCTAGGGGCGCCTGGGTGGCTCGGTCGTTAAACGTCTGCCTTCGGCTCAGGTCATGATCCTGGGGTCCTGGGATTGAGCCCTGTATCAGGCTCCCTGTTCAGCAGGGAGTCTGCTTCTCCCTCTCCCACTCCCCCTGTTTGTGTTCCCTCTCTAGCTGTCTTTCTCTCTCTTTCAAATAAATAAATAAAATCTTTTAAAAAAAACAAAACAAAAAAAAACCTTTATCTTGGCTAAAATTTTTTAGAAAATAGAATGTATCATTGATATCAGTTAAACCTTAATTATTTCTGGATTTGAATTAAGTTTTCTTTTATTTTTCAGTATAAACCATGTGGAAATGAATGTTATGATGCATTTTATATATGGAGGAACTTTGGACTTTCCAGACAAAGCTAATGTTGGGTATGTATTACTTTTTAGTGATTTTTAAATATAAAAGTATTACTACTTTGTGGTTTCTGCTTTGTTGAGCTATGTTTTAAAGTACTAGTGAAATAAAAGCTTCACTTTTATTATTTTGCCATATCTTGTGTGTTGGGAATATCTAAAAACAATGTCACCTTATTTAGAAGAAAAGATGATCTAGCAACTCACAGTGATAAGATTAAGAAAAGTATTTGACTCAAATTTTATTAGAAAAATCTTATTTGTTTTAGAAAATAAATAACAGGTTTTTATAAAGTAAAATTGAATCTTTATCAAATTTCAAACAGTTCTCTTACTACTTTATTTTTAAATTTTAGGATTACTCTCTTAAACAGCAAAACAAAAGAAAAAGAAAAACCTTAAAATTACTTTAAGAATATAGGTATCTTAAAGACCAACAATGGTTATTAAGTGCTCTTTAGTGAAATGCCATCTAAGTTGCTAAAATCATACCGGAAAGTGAAATCTACCTTGCTCTTCTAATTTTTTGGATGTCCTCTTCTTTTATTGCTGTTCTAATATCAAACAAATGAAAGCTGCTCTTTTAATTTAAATATTCATTGGTTCCTTTAATTACAAACTGAATAAATATGATTTTGGAGGGAAAGTGTCATGACTCAGGGGATTAAATACTGAAGTTTCCCCCCTGGAAACCTATGTGAAATTCTATCATGCTCTCAACGCTTGTCGGTTTCCTAAGTACCTAAAGTAAGTGTGGTGCTGGGAAATACTTGCCAAATGAAAGAAGCAATGGAAACTCTCCGAGTCATTGGATACTGTTTCCAATCTTAAGGTCATTTGTAGAGATTTTCAATATGATAAGCATCAATTAATTACCCTTCTCCTAAGTAAGTTTTTATTATACAAATTTGTTGCAAAGAGTTTTGTAACTTTTACAGCCTTTGAAACAGAGTCCTGAACTTTGACATATATGTCACTGAAAATATGAGGGGAATTTGATTGAAACATCTCCAAATTTACTTCTTGTTATCCTCTACTAACCAAGTCATGTGAAAGTGCTTTCAGCTTTTGACCTTTGTCCTTTTTATTATTCATAAAGGTTATCTATTATGTAGGGCGGAAAGTTAGAGTTAAAATAATTTAGATTATTTTTCTAAACAGACTATATATTATCAGGAAATTATTGTGTTATTCCTTGGTTTTCAAATTGGAGAATTAACATCTATTTTTATTTTAGTCAGATACTCAATATGGCTGATATGTATGGACTAGAAGGATTAAAAGAAGTAGCAATCTATATTTTAAGAAGAGATTACTGTAATTTCTTTCAGAAGGTAATTATTGAGTCTCAGAAATCTTGTACCCAATGCTTAAAGTCACCCATTATTACCTACTAGATTTTTAACCCTGATAGTGAATAGTGCTTTGAATCTTAAAACAGTAAGTCAATTTAACTTATGGGAACTCTAACTTATGGGAAACAGCTCATATGGTATGTTTGCAAAAAACTAGAAATGAATTCAGTTCATTTAAGTAAAATAAAATCGACATGGGGTTTATTGAAAGGATATAGGAATATCCTTTATAATTCAAAGGTAGAATATACCTGGGACTCAGGGTTTGGAATTAAGGAAGTCAGGGACCAAAGTTACCTTCTCCATTTATCAAAACACATTTATCACAAGTGTTTCATTGGTTCTTTTCCCTGAAAGTACACTCTTCCTTTCTGTGACTTCTCTTTATAGCATGTACTTGGGTGGAATATATTTCTCTCAGTCTCCTCAGGTGGAGTATGAATACTAACTTTTAACTTTAGTTTATGCAAACATAAATTTATTGTCTAAAGAAAGATCTCATACTATGCATTTGTACAGATGCCATTTTGTACATTATTCTTAGATTCTCCATTGTTTTAATTTACACTGTGACTGATAGGTTTTTATTTTCTAATTTATGCTTTTCTACATTTTCTAAATTTTCTATAGTGGTCATGTATTACTTTTTTAAGATTTTATTTATTTGAGAAGGGGAGAGAGAGAGAGAGCATGAGCAGGGGGGAAGGGACAGGGAAGAGGGAGAAGCAGGCTCCCCACTGAGCAAGGAGCCCGAAGCAGGGCTTGATCCCAGGACCCTGGGAGCATGACCTGAGCCTAAGGCAGACGGTTAACCGACTGAGCCACCCGGGAGCCCCCATGTATTACTTTTATAATCAACAGAAAAATAAATCATAGAAGAATTGTTTTAATCAGCCTTTCCTTCTTATTGGGTACTTGAGACAATAGTATGCATTGTATGAATTTTAATTAGGTAATTTGAATAATTTGAATAACATTTAAATTTAGATTTTTGTCTTAGGTAGGACTTTTCCTATCTCTATATAAGTTGTAGCTGAGGAAGTACCCCATGGACTAAAACAGAGCCATGAATAGTTGCATATAGCACCACCTCCACTATCACCCACTCAGGGTTTACTGAGAAACAGTTAAACTCCTCAGCTACCTTTAATCAGTCATTCATTCCAGTCTCTAGAAGTAAGGGACTAGAAGAAGGAGGGTCCTCAACTTTGTAGAAGGTGAAGGATTAAGGATTCTGATGAAAGATTTTCCTTCTCATTCATCTGCTTCCCCCATCTTCCCAGCCAAGTGAAAGTTAGGAGGGAGATAAAAGCATATCCTGAATAAAGATTAAAGATAGAGGGTATCTGCAATGAGGAGATATGTCTTATCCCTCAGATGGACATATACCACATCTGTAAAAACAGCCCACTCTGGAGCTTCCATTAAAGAATAAGAGAAAATGGTAAGAGATTTCTTGGGAGAGTCTGGAATATGCCTGAGAAACCAGTGAGAGTATACTCAAATGTGGGGATTTCTAAAGGGAGAAGCCAGTACTAGCTTGGTTATTAGGGACAATAGCTATTGTCATATAGAGAAGAAAGTATGGGGCATCTGCTCCACACCCCAGTTACACATGGAAGGCAGGGATCTTAGTGGTTCTGTGAAGATTAGAGGATGCTGGTACAGGGCCAAATGATGTTGTGTCCCACCTAGGGAAGCGCTGTGCATCATGAACCACTAAAAGAATCCTTATCCACTGAGAGGCTAGGGTGAAATTCAGTGTGCTCCTAAAAGAGTCATCAGCAAAGGCCATCAACATTTTAATTAGAGCAAACTCAGTGACATCAACCTACTACCATGTTGTGTCTGGTTAGTTATATGGCCATCCGTGGCCCCATCTGTAGCCCTCTTCCACAAGAGTTAGACCCAGAAAATGGAGGAGCAGGAGACCAGACCATGTTCTCTATTTCCTATTCCAGATCTCCCCAACTGTAAATGTAGTCAGTGATGGGGGAGAGAAAGATGTAAGGTAAAATATAAGATAGGTGTTTAAACAGTACTGTGCTGAATTCCAATACCAAAAATAACCAGAAAATACTGGAATTTGCCTATAATATCATTAAGAGATGGAAAAAAAAGGAATTTGACACAGCATAGTTGTCAGCACTAATTGCAAAAAAAGTTTTATCTTATTATCTCCTCTGAACTGAGACTCCTTAATAAACCAATTACATATAACATTTTTTTTAAAAAATCTCTTATGGATAGCCTTTGGACCATTGCCTCTAGTTTTTAATATGTTTATGAGTATGTATAGGTTTTTTTTTTTAATTTTATTTTATTATGTTATGTTAGTCACCATACAGTACATCATTTGTTTTTGATGTTCCATGATTCATTATTTGTGTATAACACCTAGTGCTCATTACAACACGTGCCCTCCTTAATACCTATCAGCAGGCTACCTGCTCCCCCTCTCCCCTCTGAAACCCTCAGATTGTTTCCTGGAGTCCATAGTCTCTCATGGTTCATCTCCCCCTCTGATATCCCCCCCCCTTCCTTTTTCCCTTCCTTCTCCTAATGTCCTCCATGCTATTCCTTATGTTCCACAAATAAGTGAAACTGTATGATAATTGACTTTCTCTGCTTGACTATTTCACTTAGCATAATCTCCTCCAGTCCCATCCATGTTGATGTAAATGTTGAGTATTCATCCTTTCTGATGGCTTAGTAATATTCCATTGTGTATATGGACCACATCTTCTTTATCCATTCGTCTGCTGAAGGGCATCTCGGCTCTTTCCACAGTTTGACTATTGCAGACATTGCTGCTATGAACGTTGGGGTGCATATGGCCCTTCTTTTCACTACATCTGTGTCTTTGGGGTAAATACCCGGTAGTGTAATTGCTGGGTCATAGGGTAGCTCTATTTTTAATTTTTTGAGGAACCTCCACACTGTTTTCCAAAGTGGCTGTACCAACTTGCATACCCACCAACAGTGTAAGAGAGTTCCCCTTTCTCCACAACCTCTCCAACATCTGTTGTTTCTTGCCTTGTCAATTTTTGCCATTCTAATTGGTGTAAGGTGCTATCTCAATGTGGTTTTGATTTGAATTTCCCTGATGGCTAAACATGATGAACATTTTTTTATGTGTCTGTTAGCCATTCGTATGTCTTCTTTTGAGACGTGTCTGTTCATGTCTTCTGCCCATTTTTTGACTTGATTATTTGTTTTTTGGGTGTTGAGTTTGAGAAGTTCTTTATAGATCTTGGATATCAGCCCTTTGTCTGTAGTGTCATTTGCAAAAATCTTCTCCCATTCTGTGGGTTGCCTCTTTGTTTTGTTGACTGTTTCCTTTGCTTTGCAGAAGGTTTTTATCTTGATGAAGTCCCAACAGTTCATTTTCGCTTTTATTTCACTTGCCTTTGGAGATGTATCTTGAAAGAAGTTGCTGTGGCCAATGTCAAAGAGGTTAC